GAGTGCACACACCCTATAGTGAAAAACCCCTCTCCAAAAAAAAAAAAAAGATGAAATAATTTTTTTAGTCGTGGGGGGACTTTTATATCTGGTCCTCTTTAATTGTTGAAGTAGCTTTTAAGTACAAATTTTCTAGTAAAGAAGTAAGGAAGAAAATTAATTAAGAGAAAGAAGACAATACAACAGTAAATCAGACCAGTTGCAAAATTTACCCTGTGTCCTTTTTGTTTTCTCAACTTCACTAAGTAGGAGTGCTTTTAGGATGTAGTATTGCCTGCTTGTAGCTCGCATATGCATCTCCAGGCTGTGTAGGTAGAATCTATGTTGGATTTGTGTCGAAGTTCCTTTAGTCATTAGTCTGTTGACTAAAGGAACAAGTGATTTGTATTTGTTTTCCACTACTGAGAAAGGGATAAAACCCAATTCTACCAAGAAGGCTTCTTTGTACAGCTCTGTTCCACGCTAGATTTGGGTTTAGAGTCAGAAAACTGGGGTTATTGTTGTGGCCCAACTATTCACCTGTCTCTTAGGGCCTGGGGCCCATCTCTGACTAGGGAGTGTCAGGGAACTGGTGGATTGTGCTGAACTGTTGCTTATTATTATAAAGGTAATTCACACACCGACTAACAACTGTATACTGATTGCAAGTCTAGAAAGGGACTGGCTACAAGTCACGTGGATCCTTGGGTGATCATCATACTTCAGAAATTAACAGGTCTTTTTAATTCCATGGCCTGACGTGGAATGGGCAAAAAACTCACTCTTCTCTGTATGGTTGCTCAGCAATCCTCCTAGGGACCAGAAGGTGGCGCACACTTTTCAGAAATACCAAAACATGCCGCTGGAAACCAATCCTGAAGAGGCCCCGCAGTCTAACACCGGCACACACAAGTCTCTTAATGAAAATACAAGAGGGTCTTCGCAGGGTTGCAGACAACTATCCATGAAGTACAAGAGCAGTGGACATCAGCAATGTATGTGGTCGTTGGGCCATCATAAGGCAGGGTAGGGAATTGCATGGTTTCTGCTTATTTTACATATTTGAATGTATTTGTAAGTGCCGTAAATGAACTAATATATATTGATTCCTCCCTATTGTGTCAAGTGCTGCACTGTGTTAAAAATGACGATTCCTTTTGACGGGTTACTTACAATGAAAAGGTGGTAGATAGAAATCGAAAACCTCTAGAGACATCTCTGCAGTCTAACTCAGCTCCTCAGAACTGCAACATGCTTTTGTTCCTCTTGGGTCCACACCACTCACCTTGCCCTTTCAAATCTACCAACCCCAGGGTTACTGCAGCCTCAGAAGCATGGTTCAGTCTAGGCCCCACCTTCCTGGTCATTTCCCTCCTTCCTCTGTATGCCTATTTTTCCAGCTTATTTAAAGAATGGAAACTTCAGTGGTTATTTGTATTACTTTTACAAATCATGCATCTCATCTGTGGATTTTGGCAACAGTGGAAAGAGCAGAATGATTTCTATGTTTACTGCACTTAAACAGATGCTGTGAGAAGGTTATATCCAGCAAATGGACTTATTTTTCCTGTGGGCCTCTGTTCCTGAATATACAATGGTACAGAAATTGACATGAGGAAGTGGTATATGTCAGGAAGAATTTGGAGGAAGTTATAAAGAGGCCAAATAGAGGCTGCAGAAAATGAAGTGAGGTCAGGGGCCGGACAGATAGCCCCAGTAAAATGAAAGTTATAAAACATGAGCAAAGGGAACTGCACCCAGAAGAATGTGAATTTGTCCCAGAAAGTTCTGAAAACTTGAAAGTGTAGAACAGACCTATACATGAACTATACTTGTGGAAAGAATCATGAATTCCCCTAGAGAATTTTAGATTCATCAGAAAGCCTCCTAAGCTCTTGTCTTCTCAGTTTTCTACTGTACCCCATTAACTACAAAACCCTTTTCCCTTCTACTCTACTGATTTCTGTAAGACACTCACACACCAAAAATACACAAAACTGCTGCAGTTCATTATCTCACACTAGCTCGGTCATAATTTTAATCACCCTCATAAAACTCTTTCTCAGATTAGCCGCATTGGATGCTCTTTTACTTTTTTCAAATCCTCAACCTGGCTGGACCTTCACTCTCACTAGATGATTCTGCAGCTCTTCTCCTGACCCTGGTTCACCCTCTGTCAGCTCAAATTTCCAGGGAGCAATCATGTTCCGACCTCTCCCTCCTCAGAGATGATCCTCCTCTGTCTCAGGTCAGTCTCCTATCCAGCTGCAGGAGGCACCAGAAAAGGAAGACAGCCCTGGGAGCTTCAAAGGTGGGTTTTGGTTTGCATCCTGGTGCTGCTGCTACATAAGTGTGTCACTGGACAGTACCCAACTTTTCCAAGACTCTATTTCCTCACTTGTAATGTGATGATTTGGGAATTAAAAACTCTTTTCCCACGACTTAGCAATAAATTCACTCAGATCTCTGCCTGTTGACTCTGGAACTGAAGAATTTTAAACCAGAAACTGCAATACTTTCCCAATCCCCAGAGTTATGGTCCACTGTGTGGCTAATAAAAGAAGTATCTGACTCTGAGTAACTGATTTTTAAAAGCAGAGATTTATTTAGCTCACAGTCTTGGAATCCAAGGTTATAGGACCACATCTGATGAAGGTCTTATTGACATGGATCTCAAGGTGACACAGGGTATCATGTGGACAGAGCTTAAGCAGAGCATATCTGTGTCTCCTCATAAATTCACAAGCACCCACCCAAGCCTGGGCTCCCACCCTGATGCTAATCTCCTCCCAAAGGCCCCACCTCTCAACACCATATCAAAGTGAGTTTCTAGCCTCTTAGTCCCATCACAACCAAATCTTGACACACGAATTGGGGGATTGGGAGCACATTCAAACCATAGTACCAGGTTTGGGTTCAGGATGAGGAGAGTAACCTAGTCCTGACCCTGTAAATTTGTGTATGACCTTGCCCTCTCTTATGTCCGAACTACTGTCACCTTTTCTGACAATATCATTTCTTTGTCATTTTTTTAGGTTCATCTATCTTTTCCTAGGCTTTAAATTCAGACATTCTAAAGGATTCTGTCCTTGGCCTTCTCCTCAGTTCTTATAAATTTTGAATGCTATGATAATTTTTAAAGAATTATTTATCTGCTTTTGTTCATTATTATTACTACTTTTTAATTTGCTACAAGGCACATACACTCACCAAAAAAAGACAGAGAGAGAGAGAGAGAGAGAAAGTGAGAAAGCAAGCCACCAGGTCTGGGACTTGAACCATGGTCAGTCATGTGGAAGTCCAGTGCCTTAACCACCACACCACCTGCACGCCCCAAGCACTATGATAATTTCAACCTTGGAGGTAAGTCTGAAATCTGCATCACAGTCCTTGAAACATCTCCCCTCATCCGGTAGACACCTTCTACAAGATGTCTTGTGCAAGGCCCCTCAGTGATAATAAGGCACAGCTAAAGGATGATCGTAACCCTGCTTATAAATCTCAACTTTAAGACTTTAGGAAACTTTCAAACATAACAAGTTAAAGAAAATTTTAAAAGAATCTAGTTTATAAGAAAGTCACTCCTGCAGACAATGGAATGCTGTGTTCTCTTCAGCCTGAAGCACACAAGCTGATATTATTTTGCATCTTCTCATTAGTAGCTCAAATGGTTCTCTCTGGCAATAATACACACAATAGAAAGGATGCCAAAGGGCAAGTGCTGAATCTAGCTGGGTGGAAGGAAAACCAATTCCTAATTTTCTGCCAGGTCAGGCTGTTGGGTTCCATTTAAACTGAGACACAAAGTAATATTCCTAAATTCTGATACCAATAGGCCTTTTAATCTCTTCTACACATACAAAACTTGCTATTAATATTTTCTCTGATTTGTTTCTAAGCACTTAATATACATAAACAAGTGACTATTTTCTGGGCATCTGTGTATGGGCCAGGGCAATCTGTTGGGATGCTTGCTTGCGATTCTTGATAAGTACAGCTATCATTCTTGTCTTCCTTAGAACCTTGGACAGTTCTAGCAAAGCCTGCTTAGCAGGTCAACTTTGTCTTTGTTCAAGTCTTCCCTACATTAACACCACCAGCAATTGTTGGTGACTTTTTGTTACACACCTTTGAGGCTCTGAGTCCTCCCACAAGACTATAAAAGGAATACATGAGTATAGACTATAAATTATAATGATTGCCTACCATGATCAACTTTGGTGTTTTCCTCAACAACTAACTTCCTTTTGCTGTCAATCTATACTTAGACACACACACACACACACACACACACACACACACACACACAACTGTATCTGTCATTGGTTAGTTTTTCCTCAGTGAGTTAAAATCCATTTTAATAATGATTCAGCAATCATGTTTATTGTCATTTACAGATAAATGTTGAAATAATTCTTTAGCCAATAAGAAATTAGCTTCATGACTTACAGTTTTTTCTTTTTCCAGATGATGGCAAGAACAGCTGACAAAGGGTCTAGCACAGAAATAAATGCTGTTCTCACAAAAGTAATGTGGAAAAAACCCTCAGGCCTGTGTGAGGATATTCTTCAATAAAATCAAATTGCAGATTTCTCAAGATTGCCAATGCTTGGCACACCACTGTCTGAGCAGAGTGATCTGTTGTTCCCAGGCTCAACTCAACTCATGTATGTACCCTGTATTTATATCTGCAACTATCCTCTTGGCCTCAGGGGGGCACTGTAGGACCCTTTATGTAGCTAATGCACAGCTGAAATGCTTCTAAAAAAGTCTGAACTAAAAGGAAATAGAAAAATAACACGGAATATAACATAAAACTAGGTATTCTGGTGCAAAATTAATATAAGAAATGCACACAGCTGAAATACAGGAGATGATTTAGTTACTGGAATCAGAAAATAAATGCAAGACATGAGAAATAGTTGGTGACACTATTTTTTCCTCCTTTCTCTTGACATTAAAGGGCAGCAGAAAAAAAAAGGTGGGGGGAGGTGGCAGACTATGGGTCTGAGGGTCAAATCTAGCCTGAGGTCTGATTTTGTAAATAACACTTTATTGGAATGCAATCATACTCATTTATTTATGTATCATCTATGGCTGCTTTCATGCTACACCAGAGTCAATCAGTTATAGCAGACACCCCGATGTCCCACAAAGCCTGAGGTATTCACTATCTGGCTCTTTACAGAATAAGTTCCAACAAGAAACATGCAGGTGACAGTGGCAGATATAAGGAAGTTTATATCTGGCCAAGAGAGGTACCAGCTTTCTAAAATGCATGTCTGGATATGATGAAATCACCACCTGCAGGCAAGCTGTATCTATGACTCACATACAGGTATATGGTTCAATAGGAGACACCTAGGAAGCATATCCAGAGAATACGAGGTATTTGATATGAAACCTGGGGGAGACCCAAGGGGTATTTTCATCTCTGTTTCCAGCTGAGAATTGCACCTTAGGAAAAAAAAAAATTCTAGACCTCCTGTCACAGAAGGAGTTTGGCTTCAGGCACGGAGCTGAGGGCTCTCAGCTGGGAACAGGCTGCACCTTACAGTGGTGCAAAGCCTGCACTTGTTCAGCGAGGTAATTCCCAGTCTCATCAAAAGAGTTCAAAGACTGAAAATGTGGTAAGAAGGAGAAAAAAAAAAATGTTCAAAGAGGTCAGGTGGAGGGCTTTGGGGGAGAGAGCAAAAACAATAATAAATGTTGAAGAGAGATAATCTGCTATGAAGAGAAAAACTGAAAAAGTGGCTATGAACAGTACGTGTAGTCTCAGAAATCTACATATTGTCTCATAGAGTCTGGCTAACAACAAGTGAGAGATTTGAGCACGATAATGCAATATAATCAAGGCAATAGACATCTGTGGGGGAATTCCAACATGAGGGAGGATGATGGTAG